ATTACTGTTAGTGCTGTTAGTATTGCCATTAATTCTGCTCTAGTTGATGATGGGAATTGTTCTAAGTTACTTTGGAATGTCATATTATTATTTGATTCTTGATCTAGAATCACCCATCCCAGGCCCTTCTACAGAAACATTGATTATCTAAAGTATAATTAGATTGAGAACTACACATCCAAAAATCACTTCCAAACTGTGGACCATAATTTTTTTGCTGATTTTTGTGTAAATTGCATGTTGGGAACTTGCTACATATTTTCATTTTTTTAATGAGAAGATGAACTTAATTTGTGATAAATATCAATATTACTATTTACCCAGGTTAAAGGATTATAACCTCCAACAATTTCGTCGGTTTAACTTTCACAACTGTACCAGCGCTTATCCCAAAATATTTGTGGTACAAATCATCTCTAGTGCCACTAGAAATTTCTGTTTTATAATGATAGACGAGAAAGGAGTAAGAGAGATGCTGATTGATATCCCAAAGTTATCAATAATTTTTTAAGGTTTAATTTACCCAAGACTTCATAAGTTGAAAGGTGAAAATGTGAATAAGTGGTAAACATTGTCATAAAGTGGTTTTAATGTAAGAAATTTTTCCTTGGCCAAAGAAAAATGCGTTTTTAGTCAAGAAGCTTTAGTATCAATGAGAAGAGTTTCGTTAATAAACCTAGTTTCATAATTTTCTAAATTAACAATTCCTCCGTAAATACTGTATATCAAACAAAATAATAATAATAACAACTGGTAATATTTTTATTATTGGTAATAATTTACTTAAAATTTTGATTGATAGGTTACAATGCGCTGCGCTGTAAAAGATTTTTCTTCATTTTCAACTTCAACGATTGCATTGTAATCACCTTTATCCGGTAATTAAGTATGATCAAAGTGCCAAATAAAATTCGTTATTTGGTAGTTATAATAGTTTATTTTTTTTATTCGGCAATGTAGTTACATTTTTTATTAATTATTCGGCACAACAAGTAAGTATAATCAAGTTTAAATAAACAGAAAAAATTACTATAATTAATTAATAGTAACATTTTCAGCATTGATATAATAATTCTTTATAGTTGTGTTACTTTTATTAGATTCTTCAGATTGTTGAATTTTCGTATTAGGTTTATATGCATATGCATTGGAATGTAACGGAAGATTTCTTTCAGAATCCATAAGAGGTTGACGGAAAGGCTTGGTTACTGAAGATATTTTCTTTAATGATGATTGTGATGTCGACTTAGAAAGAGACTAATAGAAAGCATATTAGATTAAAATATACAGTATAAAGAAATTTTTAATATAAAATAAATAACTTACTTGATCATTTTTCAAAGGCAATGTTCCAACACTATCAATTAGTAAAGACAATGCTTCTTCTTTTTGTTGAGTAGATGGACGGGCATAAATTCTATATGAGGATTCGCTTTTATGTCCTGTAATTGACATAGTTGTAACAAGTGGAACTCCTTGCCAAAAAAGTTTTGTAATAGGTGTTGAGCGACCTGAATGATTCACAATATCACGATCACCTAATTCAATTCCAACTGTAGCAAAATATTTTTCATAAATAATCGGCATGTTTTTTCTCCTAATCTTGTATCAATATACCATTCTTTAGAAGAATCTATTAAATAAATTTTATTAAATAAATAAAATAAATAAAAATAAAAAAATTCAAAATATTTTTACATATTTAAATACCTTTTTGTTTTTTATTAATTTGTAAATGAAAGAATTCACATTTATAATCTTTAGGTCGTTTACAAAAATAATATTTAATATCGTGAATAGGCTCTTGAAAACCTTCTGGATTTGGTGATAGAGGAATTACAAGAGCATCCAAGTTTCCATCTATGCCACCCTGATCATTTTTTTTGTGAAAATTTAGTAAATTGAAGACTTCCATCTGTCATAAAAGTAAACTGTGATGTTGTTAATCTATAATGTTCACCACCACGTGGTTAAATAATAAACAGCACCACATAAAAACACGGTACTGTAATCCTTGAGATGATTCAATAGAAATAGCATTATGTTGAAATATATGATGCAATTCTTCATCTGTCAAATTATCATGGTGACGAGTACGCTTGCATATGTACAAATCTCAATCTTCCAGTCTTTTAAAATGGTCTATTATATTAAAGGTATTTGAAGTAATTAATGTTGATGCTATTTGTAGAAACGTTAAATTTCTAAAAACGAAAATTATATTAATTAATAACAATGGAATTTATTTTATTATTTATAAGCAAAGTTTATTTAATACTGATGGATATAAATTTAATAATATTATAAAGTATAAAATAACATAATGATTATAAATTTTCTAAAGAATGTAACGTCTAAATAGTTTTCTGAATAACTTTAAATACTTCATAATTGACAATTGAATAGTAATTTGATGAAGATGGTGTTCTTATAGATCTTTCATAGTAAAAGCCATAATTTCTACAAAAACATTCATTATCTAAAGTAAAATTATATTGAGAACTATACATCCAAAAATCTCCAAACCATGGACCATGATTTTTTTGCCAATATTTTTCGTAACTTTTAATTGCATTTTGGGGAATTTTTACTCTGCTAAGAATTGAATTTTCAATACTACCATTTTTTAAGTAGAAAATGAAACTATCATTTGTTACTACCCATTTACAATAATTACAAGTATTATCCCATACTAAAGGATTATAACCTCCAAAAATCTCATCTGTTCCTTTAACTTTTAATACCACAATTGTACGAGGATGACCAAGACATTTATTCCAAAATGTTTGTGGTGCAAATCCATCTCTAATGCCATTTAAGATCAATTCAAATTTATATGGATTATTTGTTGAAGTATATGTAACTACATTACGATCAATCCAGGTAGAAATTTCTGCTGCATGATCTTCAGAAATGATAGTTGAAAAAGGTTCTTTTGGTTCATTTGTACGTGGAGGTAAATCTGTAACCAAAACTGATCTTGCTGGTAAAATAATTGATTTCACTGGTCTTTCAGGAGCTAAGAGATTCTGATTAATATCTTCCCAAAGTTGTTTATCAATAATTTTTTTGTAAGGTTTAATTTTATCTAAGACTTCATAAGTTGAAAGGTGAAAGTATCGAATAAATGGTAAACATTGTTGTAAAGTTTTTAATTTAAGAAAATTTTCATTAGTCCATTCTTCAAGGTTTGTTGGAAGAGTAGGATTCTGAGCAATTCCCCACTTGATGACATAATCCCAAATTTTAACTTCTTCCAACTATAAATCATCTCGCTTAAGAAGAGACACCAGCGCAGGTTCTTGAAGAGAAGTAAAATCCAAATTATTAAAAATAAGATTTGGATACTTTGTAACAATATCATTACAAAAATTTTCTAATTTTTTAAAGTTGTTTACACTAAAAATAGTACGATAAATGAGAGAAAAATGTATTTTTAACCAAGAAGCTTTATTATCAATAAGAAGAGTTTCTAATTTGTTGGTTAATTCCTCAAGTTCAATTTATCTGCAGCTAACATTAAATCAAAAATAAATCTAGTATCCGTGTTTTCCAAGTTGATAATTCCTCCGTAAATATATCTAAATAAATAAAATAATAATAATAATTATAAATAAATTCATAATAAATAATAACTAATAATATTTTATTATTGATAGTAAACTTACTTAAGAATAACATTAAAGCAGAAATATTCGACTTGGTAATTTTCTTAATATTATTTTTATTTGGCTGAATGTTTTCTAACTCTACAGAAATATGATGACCGACATTTTAATACGTTAGAATGTGCTGTAAATATTTTTCTTCATTTTCAACTTCGATGATTACATTGTAATCATCTTTATCATTAAGAAGCTCATCAAAGTTTTGAGATAACTTGTCAAAAAATTTTAATGTCATTTTTTTCTAACTAAATTGTTTGTAGCTTGCAATGTTTATTATCACTTTACTCCGCTCGCAGTCTTTTAGTGTATATGTATATTGTGTACCAAATATATTAACATTATCACTTTACTCCGCCCGTAGTCTTATAGAATGTTTATTGTGTGTGTAACAAATACTGTAACAAATAGAAACCTCAATATTTTTGACAAATCAAATCTTACCTAATACATTGTCACTTTACTCTGCTCCGCTCGTCACATGAAATATTTAGGATCACCAGCTAAACTGTAGACCAATTAAACGAATATCTCAGAGTTAATTTAGTTTTTATTGTTAATTTCTTTTGTAATGTTCTTGATAATGGTGATGATTTGGATGCAACAGATACTAGTTTTTTAATAATTGATTTGCTACTATAAATGTCGTTACTTTACGATGAAAATTGTTTTTTAAAATCTCATTACGTTGTTCAATACAATAAAACAAATGATACTTAAATGACAAGGAATTATCAAATCTTTTTACCTCTCTCTTATTCATATTCTTCATCTTTAGTATAAAATAATCATTTTCCAACAAATAAATATAAATATAAATTATCAATTTTTAATTATTATATATTACGTTTAAAAAAAAATTGTAGTGAATATAGTGAACATGAAAATTTATTATTTATGTTAATAAAGATACAAAATTCTATATACAAGTATATGGTCATTGTCTCATTCACGATTAACCATATTATTTCTTATCTAAATAATAATAAAATAATCAAAGATACAATATAATATTATTGTAAGTAACAGATAGAAATATCTTCTTAACTATGCATCATTAATATTTTATCATTTGACCAAATTATTTTTCAATTCGTTCAACAGGACAGGATATTGTTTGTAATAACTATTTCACGGGAACCATGGAATAATTAATTTAAATATTTATCTGAATCAACATAAAAGAATAATAAAAAATAAGAATAATAAATAATAACGTAATATTTCGTTTGTTTTATTAGTTTAGTTAATTTTTGGATGTTTCAGGTACTAAATATTACTTTTTGATTACTTTTATAACTATTTTTTGCAGTAAAACTGGTGGCGCAATACCGTTTATAGATCTAGAAAAGAAAAAAGGGTAATTATATAGTTTAAAAGGGTTTACAGAGTAGTAAGTAGGTAATACTTCGTTTATTTTATTAGTATAGATGATTCTCTGGTATTTTTAAGGGATTAAATATTACTTTTTTGGTTATTTTTAGAACTATTTTTGCAGTAAGATCGGGTGGCGCAGTACCGTTCTAGATCTAAACGAGAAAGAAGGGAAATTATATAATTTAAAAGGGGTCTACAGAGTCGTAAATTGGTAATACTTTGTTTATTTTATTAGTTTATATGATTTTCAGGTATTTTCAACCATTTTTAGGTACTAACTATTATTTTTGGTTGCTTTTTATGATGATTTTTGTAGTGTTTTGGGTGGCGCAGTAACGTTCTATAGATCTAGACGAGAAAGAAGGATAATTGTATAGTTTAAAAGGGTTTACAGAATTGTAATTGGCTAATACTTCATTTATTTATTAGATTATCTGATTTTCGGGTATTTTCAATAGGTTTTTATTGCTTCAATATTGTTTACTATGGATTTTCCCAAAAATTTGACAATAGTTCTTATTGTTTCAACCTTTTCCAATTCCTTTCCTATCATTTCTTTTTACAAGAACATCTTCAGCTTCTATCCTTACACCTTTATCATTCTTCCATAAATATTTTCTCTTCCATCAATTTTTTAAGCAAAAACATCCTCTCTATAAACTTTCCTCAAAAATATCCTATATAAATCTTCCTTTTTCTAAAATAATTCCTTCCACAAAATTTTTCCTTTCTGCTAGAAGGCACCAAACTGTCACAGGTGTTATTGTTAACATCCACTCAATGGTTCTTTTAAGGAGTTTATAGTCCTTCCCCATAGGTACAAGACTTCTAGTTTAGTTATTCCTTGAATTTTAGAAGGCGCCAGTTAGTTTTTAGATAGAACTAACAAACTAATATTCATCTACTTTGATCATAATATATCCACTTCAATATTATATCTCTCAACTTCCAAGCTTCCTTATATATTCATAACTTCATCATATCATCCTTGTTGTTTTTATCTTCATAACATCCTTAAATAATGTCTTCATAACTTCTCTTTATCATCTTTAATATTGAATAAATACTTTATCATCCAACTTCCTCAATAATCATTAGAACAGAACAAATATAATTAATTATTTAATTAATTATATAACTTCCATTTGATATCTTCACTTCCACTTTATTATATTTATTAAGTTATCATTTATTAACTTGAATAATAATATTTATTATTTCACTTCCACTATGTAAATTTAATGGGAATTTACAT